ATCCAAGCGCGGGTCCGGATGTGTCCCAGCCTGTCCAGCGCGTTTCCGCCGGCGTGTTTCCGTCGGCGGGTTGTGTTGCGGGGCCTGACGTGCCACTGTCTTCCTCCGGCAGGTCCGGTCTCAGCAGGATTCGAGGTCGAGGCGGTCGGGACAGTGCGCAAGCGCAGAAGGCCGTCAGAGGCGGGTCGCTCGAGGTCCATCTCGTCGGGATGTGACCACGTTGGCGCCTCCGTGGGAGTCGTTTTTAGGAGCAGCGTGCGGTGGGAATCGCCGGTTGTGCCCTGAGCCGAGAACTGCAGCACGAAGACTCCGTCGTCATCAACCGCCTTTCCGATGTAAGAGTCGTCGTAGAATAGCTCGAAGGTCTTTTCCTTGCAGTTGCTGCAGATGTCGATTCCGCATCGCATGAGTTGAGCTGACGAGAGCAGGTTGTATTGGAGATCTGGCGCGACGAGGACGTCTCCGATGTGAATGGTGAATTTCGTGTCATTCGCCTCGAGGTAGATCTCCCCAATCTCATGTGCCTTCATTTTTTCGGTTGTTGGCGGCAGTGATTTCGCAGGTCGTCGCATGCGCCGAGAGTTGCTGATGAACTTTGATGATCCCACCATGTGTTGCCCGCAGCAACTGTCGAGGTACCAGGTGTCCAGATCCTCGTGGCGCTGGCGAGCGAGATTGGCGATCTTGGGCGTGATGATGCGATCGAAGTCGCCGGTGTACGGCGAGAGAGCGAAATATCGGTTTGCGGAGATGCTCGGCGGCGATTCCGGAGTGGGAGGAGGGAGCTCGAAGTCGGGAGGAATGTCAGAAGGGCGAGTGGACCAGGTGAGAACCGTTGGATCAATCAGGCGCAACGGGGTTAGGATTGTCGGAAGGGAACGAAATTCGATCCCGATCCCAGTAGCGGAACCCTCTGCTACGGCTCGGCTTGGACTGAGCCGAGGGTTGCTGATTGGAGGCGTTGCGCCGTTCATCAGCAGCCTGACGCTTGTAGCACTGGTCGATGGAGTGGCCAGACTTCTTGCAGTATTTGCAGAAAGCTCCCTTCTTTCCGCGTTGCTCCCCTTGAGATCCTCCTATGTAGAAGGCTAATTTCTCCCGCTTGACATTCTTCTTGTTGTACAGGTCGATTTCCTTCTGCTCCGAAAGAAGCGTGGCGCACAGAGCCGACTCCGATATGCTTGCTCGGGCGCGAAGGAGTGACTGACACTGACGCCAGTCGGGGCCAAGGCCTGAAATGACCATCGAGATGAACATGTCGTCGGGAACAGAACCGCCGCATTTCTTAACTTGATCGCGCAGATTGCGGCACCGATTAACATACGGTCCCGCCTTTTCCCCTTGCTTCATTTTAACCGAAGTCAGTTGACTGAGCAGGCGACTCATTGTAACTGGATCTGTTGCCATGTATGAGTTGCGCAGGATGTGCACTTCGGGCATCCCAGTGCGGGGGGGTGTCAGAGGTCCACTGGAGATCCCCGATGATCCTAGGGAAGGGTTACAGGCACGTCGGCCTGGGGGGTTATGGGCGCACTCACCCGCTATATAAACAAGCCCTTTTATCCCAGTGGTTAGTGGCTGGGATTCTGACATGGTATCAGAGCGAAGGTCTCGGGTTCGATTCCCGGTGTGTGCACTTCGGGCATCCCAGTGCGGGGGGGTGTCAGAGGTCCACTGGAGATCCCCGATGATCCTAGGGAAGGGTTACAGGCACGTCGGCCTGGGGGGTTATGGGCGCACTCACCCGCTATATAAACAAGCCCTTTTATCCCAGTGGTTAGTGGCTGGGATTCTGACAGCGCAGGTGTTCCCAGGAAGCTTGCGCGGGAGCCCACTCTGTCTTGTACGGGCGAATACTGAGCTGCTCTTCAGGTGAGAGATTGCGAAGGAGAGCGGTGTACGCGAGAAGTGATTCGTGGTAGTATTGATGCTTCTCCTGGATGGTGCCTTCCGAAGGAAAAGGCAGACTTCCGTCGTAGTACATCCAGATCTGAGCGGTTGTCGCGAGAAGCTCGAATTCGAAACTCCACGTGTAAAAATCCTTTCAATTTGGTCTTCAATTTTGAAGTCAGTACAAATTTGGTTTGCATTGAAGCGATGTCTGACTGCGACCGTTGTGGGTTGTCTTGTGCAGGAGCTGACCCTTGACGATTGTCAAAGGTGAAGGATCTCTCGGAGTTGACGCGGTGGTCGTCTCCAAGGAGAGGAAGTCCAGCAACCCCACGTGCATAGCTTGAGCCATCAATGCTCATAGCCTGATGGCTTTCAAGAGCAAGGCCCGTGCTAGGTTTTGGGGCACCCTGAGCCCTCAGGGCACTTTTCTAGAATCTTAAAAAATCTTCAGAGCCTTCCTGATTGGTCAGGGCTTTTGCAGAAACTAATCCTGACCTGTCAGGGCCTAAATAATAGTGTTCAGGGTTCTGATTTTAGTGTTCAGGGTTCTGATTTCAGCGTGAGAAACCCAGCTAGAGCTAGCCAGGGAGAGGCAGAGTTGCCTTGGCGGTGGGTGATGGGGTTGGCTTGGCTGGTGTAGCGGGGGATCGGAAATGTCAAGGGGAAGAGAACGTGCGAAGGCGGGAAACATACACGGGGGAAAATTTCATCGGAGACAAAAATCCTCAGGGAAAAATCCCCCCCGAAACGGAACACCCCCCCTTACACCCACCCCCCCCCCCCCCCCCCCCCCCCCCCCCCCCCAAAATCCGTGTCAGGGCAGGCCTCGACATTCATCCTGACGCTACAGGGAAGAACACTACGGCCATCCTGAAACTCAAGGTCATTTCACATAAAAACATCCTGTGACCTCAGGGTTAAAATTATGACTATTCTGAAATTGCAGGGTAAATACAGAAGTGCATCCTGAATTCAGGGTAATCAGGATGTTTTGCCCTGATAACGTGGGCCCTGTTCAAGAGCGTTGATGCGTGCAACTAGCTGCTCAACGACAGCGGCGCTGACGGAGGTCACCGCTGATGGCGCGTTAGTAGTTGCTGGTGGTGGGCCCGGTGAGTCTGCAGTAGCTTTCCCTTCAGGAGCCATAGTGTTGCAGACCTTAAGATGTGATAATTAATTTTATGAAAGGATTGTTCTAGGAAGAACGAGGGCTTGACAGATCCTATAATCCACTCTAGCTCTCATACCATGCTGATATAACCAAAGGATCAGTGGATAGGATAGAATGTGTTAAGCCTGAAAGGAGACAGTGAAGTCTCTGAGGTGACCTTGTTGAATAATAATTGAAAGAGAACAAGATGATTAAAAGATAGGAGTACAAGGAATTAAATAGCAACTAACTAGCCATGTACTCTGAGGGGTACATTCCCTTATTAACTGTATTGCATAGCTACAGTAACCGCGACTATTGCTATCCTCGACAGTTACCGTGTTGCAGTCTGTTAACTGTCGCGCGGTTACTGGATCGTCAAGGGTCACGACCGTTGACTTCCTTGGACGGTTGACCTTCGGGTGACCCTCGACATTCCGCGTGCTCTATATGAGCTATTGCGGTACTGGTACAGTGGAGCAACTTCGGGAATGCCTTTATAACCTTTCGGTTATTCCAACAGTGGGCGAGCATGATTGGTCATTTGACCATTTCGCACCCTGGCAGAATGGAGTAGTCTGCATAGCGAAGTACTTTACAAGACTGTCAAACATATATAACATTGCGCGCGGTCCCTTCGCCCTCGCAGCTTCATGAGTGGTACTTTCAGCGGGGGGGGTCACGGGGTTCTGCTCGCTGCCCGTACGTCATTCGCACTGGTGCTCGGACTGGCCACAGAGTCCCGCTGCTTCGCCAGTCTGAGCGACGCCTGGCGTACAGAGTTTGGCGACGCGGCTGAGCTCCCCGACTGGGTGGAGCTGCTCCGGCAGAGGGTAGATATCTATGCTCTTGACTATGATGCTATTCTCACTGCCATGTATGCATTATCTATTAGTGATGCCGGTGACTGTTCCCTGAGTGTTCCGCCCGACCCGGGCGGTGCAGCTGCTGCTCTAGGTGCTAGTGAGTCTGCTGCTCCAGGTGCTGGTGAGTCTGCTCTCTCAGGTACCACGTCTGCTCCGGCGTCGCACACTTTCACCCTTGACTCAGGTGCTTCCCGCTCCTTCTTTCGAGACCGCACCACTCTCACGCCGCTCAGTCGGCCGGTTGCAGTCTCCCTGGCAGACCCCTCTGGGGGTCCTGTTCTTGCCCACTACTCCACTGTCCTACCGTGTCCGGCGGTCCCGTCTGGCTCCCTGTCGGGTCTTTACCTCCCCTCGTTCTCTACGAACTTGGTGGCGGGTGCTGACCTACAGGATGGGGGGGTTGACCAGTTCACCCCTGCGCGTCAGCGGGTGACCCACTGCACGTGTGCGGACACGGGCCGACACTTGGCCACGTTTACCCGTCGGCCGGGGTCGAGCCTGTACACCCTGACTACCGAGTCTCCTCCGGTTGCTGTGCCTGGTCAGGTAGCTGCGTCGGGTCAGGTGTTTGCTGCGGCGTCTCGGTCTGGTCCTGAGTCTGCCCCCTGCTCGTGTCGCCTCCTGTCCCACGAGACTCTTCTCTGGCACCACCGTCTTGGTCACCCCTCCCTGCCTCGTCTCCGAGGCATGGCCTCTCGTGTCCTGGTCTCTGGTCTCCCCCGGTCGCTCCCTCCCCTCCCTCCGGGGCCTGCCCCTACCTGCGTCCCCTGCGTCGAGGGGCGGCAGTGCGCCGCTCCTCACTCCTCCGAGTTTCCGCCGACAGAGGCTCCGCTGCAGACTCTTCACATGGACGTGTGGGGCCCAGCCCGCGTCCGTGGACAGGGTCACGAGCGCTACTTCCTGCTGGTGGTTGACGACTACTCGCGTTACACCACGGTCTTCCCCTTACGCCTCTGCGTCTGCACTCTGACAGAGGTGGAGAGTTTTCCTCCGGCCCTCTGCGAGCCTTCTGTCGTGCGAGGGGCATCCGCCAGACGTTCACGCTTCCGGCCTCTCCGCAGCAAAATGGGATTGCTGAGCGCCGCATTGGCATGGTCATGGATGTCGCTCGCACGTCCATGATCCATGCGGCTGCTCCCCATTTTCTGTGGCCGTTTGCGGTTCAGTACGCGGCGCGTCAGATCAACCTTCAGCCCCGGGTCTCCATGCCGGACACCTCCCCCACTCTGAGGTGGACGGGGCAGGTTGGCGATGCGTCTGCGTTTCGTGTCTGGGGATCTCGGGCTTTTGTCCGAGACTTGTCTACGGACAAGCTGTCCTCCCGTGCTGTTCCCTGCGTCTTCCTTGGCTTCCCCCCTGACGCGCCTGGTTGGCAGTTTTACCACCCCACCTCACGCCGTGTTCTGTCCTCCCAGGACGTCACGTTTGACGAGTCGGTTCCGTACTACCGTCTCTTCCCCTACCGCGCTGCCCCTCTTCCCCCCCCGCCGCTCTTCCTTACGCCAGGTCCCCCCCCGGTAGACCCCCTCCCCCCTCAGGGTCCTGCTCCTTCAGGTGTGTCTCAGGTAGACCCCCCCCCCTTGGCTGAGCCTTTGGAGGTCACTTCCGACACCTCTGGCCCACCTGAGGGGGGTGACGCTGTTGCTGACGCCCCGGCGGCCTACCGCCGCGCACCACGCTTGGAGACCCCTCCGGGGTTCCCTCCGCGACCTTCTTCGCCGCCTCTGCAGCCGGTTACTGTTGACTCTGGTGCTGTTGAGGGTGGAGCTCCTGGAGGTGCTGCGTCTGGGGGTGCGGAGTCTGGGGGTGCTGAGTCTGGGGGTGCTGAGCCTGCGCGTGAGGAAACTGGTGGTCCTGCGCCTGGGGGTGCTGTGTCTGGGGGTACTGAGCCTGTGTGTGCGGAGTCTGGGGGTGCTGAGTCTGGAGGTGAGACGCTTGAGGGTACTGGGACTGCTGGTGCACGGCCTACTTGGAGTGGCCGCCTTCGTCCGCGTGTGCCTCTCACCCCTCAGCAGCTGCACGACTGGTACGGTCGCCGTCAGCGTCGCACTGCTGGAGCCCGGGGCTCTGCTGCTGGAGGTACTGGAGCTGCTGGGGCTGGGGGTGCTGCGTCTGGGGGTGCCGCTGCTGGAGACACTGAGGCTGGAGACCTTGGGACTGGAGGTGCTGGTTCTGGGGGTGCTGCTGCGGGAGACACTGCGGTTGGAGACCCTGGGACTGGAGGTGCTGGTTCTGGGGGTGCTGCTGCGGGAGACAGTGCGGTTGGAGACCCTGGGACCGGAGGTGCTGGTTCTGGGGGTGCTGCTACGGGAGACACTGCGGTTGGAGACCCTGGGACTGCAGGTGCCGGTTCTGGGGGTGCTGCTGCTGGTGACGCTGGTTCTGGAGCTACTGGCGCTGGAGGTACCGGTTCTGAGGCTGGAGCTTCTGGAGCTGCTGGAGGCGTTAACGCTACTGGAGGTGCTGGAGCTGCTGGTACTGGTGCAGCTGCGCCGACACGACTGTTCTTCGCTCCGCCGTCTCCGTCGTCCCTGCCGCCGCCTGACTCTGCCCTTCGTCAGGTTGTTACTCTCCCGTCGTCTACTGGTCTTCCGTTACAGACTGGCTCACCGCTACCTGCTCCCTCTCCTTACACTGAGCAGACAGGCAGTCCTGCTGAGCGTCATGAGCCTGCGTCGCGTCCTGTCTCGCCTGTTCGTTCTGGTCGTACCGTTCGTCGTGTCGCTCGTGCGCGTCAGCCGGCTGTCCCCAGCACACACCTCGTAGTCCGTCGTCCTTCCTCTGCTCCGCAGCCTGTTCCTCTGCCGTCTCCCCCTGCGTCCTCTCTGCCTGCCGTTCCGAACCCTGAGTCTGACCGGTTTCGTACTGAGCACCCTACTGTCACGCGTCTCCTAGCCACTGTTGTCACTGACCCGTCGTTTGAGTCTACTGCTGCGTCTGCCTTGGTCGCTGAGCTTGTTGACTTTGCTGCTGCCTGTCGTCTAGACTACGCCGCTAGTCTTGTTGCTGAGTCTGAGTCTGTCTGTCCTCCGTCCGTCGGGGGTGAGTGTGCTCTTAGCACGGACGTCCTTGAGGACAGGCAGGAGGAGTTCCAGTGTCTTGCTGCTACTTTACCTCATCTTGTGTCCTCGCTACTTGCCCCTGAGGGAGACCCGGATGCACTTGACATCCCGACTCCGCGCTCTTACGCGGAGGCGATAGAGGGTCCCTACTCCTCTCAGTGGCAGGCAGCCATGGACGCAGAGATGGCTTCTTGGAAGTCCACAGGCACCTACGTTGACGAGGTTCCCCCTCCTGGGGCGAACATCGTCAGTGGCATGTGGATTTTCAGGGTGAAGCGGCCACCGGGTTCTCCTCCTGTCTTCAAGGCGCGTTACGTGGCTCGCGGCTTCAGTCAGCGGCAGGGAGTTGACTACTTTCAGACCTTCTCTCCCACCCCGAAGATGACCACTCTTCGGGTGCTGTTGCACATAGCCGCTCACCGTGACTACGAGCTTCACTCTCTTGACTTCAGCACAGCTTTCCTACAGGGCAGCCTGCACGAGGAGATCTGGCTGCGCCGCCCACCTGGCTTCACTGGGACGTTTCCTCCTGGCACCCAGTGGAGCCTCCGGCGGCCGGTCTATGGTCTCCGCCAGGTGCCACGTGAGTGGCACGACACACTGAGGACTACGCTTGCGGCTCTTGGGTTTGCTCCTTCTACTGCCGACCCGTCGCTGTTTCTGCGCACCGACACCTCTTTGCCGCCGTTCTACATCCTCGTGTACGTCGACGACTTGGTCTTTGCCACAGCTGACACTGCTGGACTCGCCTACGTGAAGTCGGAGCTGCAGAAGCGACACACGTGCACAGACCTGGGTGAACTGCGCAGCTACCTTGGCTTGCAGATCACCCGGGACAGAGCACGGCGCACCATTACACTGTCTCAGTCACACATGGTGCAGCAGGTCCTTCAGCGCTTCGACTTCACGTACTCCTCGCCTCAGGCCACTCCTCTGTCTACTCGCCACTCGCTCTCAGCTCTGCCTTCGGATGAGTCCGTAGAGCCGAGTGGCCCGTACCCAGAGCTTGTTGGCTGCCTCATGTACCTTTCATACCCTCTTAGCATCTTGGCACGCTATGTTGCTCCTGGGAGACACCGACCAGAGCACATGGCTGCAGCGAAGAGGGTGTTGCGCTACTTGTGCAGTACGTCGGGCATGGGGCTAGTGCTTGGAGGGCAGAGTCCAGTGGTCCTCACTGGTCACGCAGACGCTTCTTGGGTTGACGACCTGGCTACTCAGCGGTCGTCACAGGGTTACACTTTCAGCCTTGGTTCCGGCTCTGTTTCGTGGCGGTCTACCCGCTCGTCGTCTGTTCTCAGCTCTAGCTGTGAGGCTGAGATCTACGCAGGAGCCATGGCTGCACAGGAGTTACGTTGGCTCACCTACCTGCTTTTTGACCTGGGAGAGCCGCCTCGTTCTCCTCCAGTTCTGTACGTAGACAACAAGGCAATGCTGGCCTTGTGTCGGGAGCACAGACTGGAGCACAGAACGAAGCACATTGCTCTCCGCTACTTCCTTGCACGTGAGCTGCAGCAGCGTGGTCAGCTGCGCCTTGCTTACGTGGCCACTCGGGCCAACACTGCTGATATCTTCACCAAGGCACTTCCGCCTGGTGATCATCAGCGCTTCTGTACGATGCTAGGTCTTGTGCCCACTTGGCCTCACTTGCTCACTTCTTGACCTTGCTTGTACTGCGTTTTCTGTATACTTGCTCTGCTTGTTTGCCTTTATATATAATCCTGCATGTGAACTGGCCTTGTGGCCTTGACCTTGTGCTCAGATTTGTGGTGACGTTGTGATCCACTCTGAGCTTGCTTGCTTGACTGGTCTTGTGGCCTTTAGGTCTTCCCCACTTTGCCTATGGGGGTGTGTCAAACATATATAACTGTGAAAAGAACTAGGCAAGAATGATGCATTGAATGGAAGAATTGGGTACAAGTAGCAAACCCTAGTTGGGGTTGTACCCCATATTGGCTACCCCACTACAGCCTACAAACATAATACAGTTTAACACACCCCCATAGGCAAAGTGGGGGAGAACAAAGGGTCACAAGACCAGTCCAGCAAAGCAAAGCAAAGCCCAGGGTGGATCACAACGTCACCACACTCCGAGCACAAGCAAAGGCCACAAGGCCAGTTCACATGCAGTGCTAGATATAGAACAGGACAAGCAGCAAGATATATATAAAGTACAGTACAAAGAAAGTCAAGCAGTAAGCAAATGAGGAAAAGTGGACACAAGGCCTAAAGAAGTACAGTGCCGCTGATGATCACTAGACGGGAGCGCCTTGGTGAAGATATCAGCAGTGTTGGTCTTCGAGTCCACGTACACAAGCCGAAGCTGACCGCGCTGCTGAAGCTCTCGAGCAAGAAAGTAGCGAAGAGCAATGTGCTTCGTCCTGTGCTCCAGTCTGTGCTCCTGACACAAGGCAAGGGCCGCCTTGTTGTCACCGTACAGAACTGGAGGAGAACTAGGCCGCTCTCCCAAGTCAGTCAGCAGGTAGGTGAGCCAGCGTAACTCCTGTGCAGCCATGGCTGTGGCGTAGATCTCAGCCTCACAACTAGAGCCGAGAACAGAAGAAGAGCGGGTGGACCGCCACGAGACAGAACCAGAGCCAAGGCTGAAGGTGTAACCCTGTGACGACCGCTGCGTAGCCAGGTCGTCCACCCAAGAAGCGTCCGAGTGACCAGTGAGGACAACTCTGTCACGTCCTCCAAGCACCAGCCCCATGCCTGATGTACTGCACAAGTAACGCAGCACCCTCTTAGCAGCCTCCCAGTGCTCTCGCCTGTGTCTCCCAGGCGCAACGTAACGAGCAAGGATGCTAAGTGGGTACGCGAGGTCAGGTCGCGTGCAAGTCATCAGGTACATGAGGCAGCCTACAAGCTCTGGGTACGGGCCACTCGGCTCTACGGACTCGTCCGAAGGTGGAGCTGAGAGCGAGTGGCTGGTAGCCAGAGGTGTGGCCTGTGGTGAGGAGAACTGGAAGCCGAAGCGCTGAAGGACCTGCTGCACCATGTGTGACTGAGTCAGGGTGATGGTGCGGCGAGCTCTGTCCTGGGTGATCTGCAAGCCAAGGTAGCTACGCAGTTCACCCAGGTCAGTGCAGGTGTGTCTCTTCTGCAGCTCCGACTTCACACGAGCGAGTGCCTCAGTGTCAGCAGTAGCAAAGACCAAGTCGTCGACGTACACGAGAATGTAGAACGGCGGTAGCGACGTGTCTGTGCGCAGAAACAGCGATGGGTCAGCAGTAGACGGCGCGAACCCAAGAGCTGCAAGTGTAGTTCTCAGTGTGTCGTGCCACTCACGTGGCGCCTGGCGGAGACCGTAGACTGGCCGGCGGAGGCTCCACTGGGTACCAGGAGGAAACGACCCAGTAAAGCCAGGTGGGCGGCGCAGCCAGATCTCCTCGTGCAGGCTGCCCTGCAGGAACGCTGTGCTGAAGTCAAGAGAGTGAAGCTCGTAGTCACGCTGAGCAGCAACGTGTAGCAGAACCCGAAGAGTGGTCATCTTCGGGGTGGGGGAGAAGGTCTGGAAGAAGTCAACCCCCTGACGCTGACTGAAGCCTCTAGCAACGTAACGAGCCTTGAAGACAGGTGGAGAACCTGGCGGCCGCTTCACCCTGAAAATCCACATGCCATCGACGATGTTCGCCCCAGGAGGGGGAACCTCGTCGACGTAGGTGCCTGTGGACTTCCAGGATGCCATCTCTGCGTCCATGGCTGTCTGCCACTGAGAGGAGTAGGGACCCGAGATCGCCTCTGCGTAAGAGCGCGGAGTGGGGATGTCTAGTGCATCCGGGTCTCCCTCAGGGGCAAGCAACCAGGCCACGAGATGAGGTACAGCAGCCGCAAGAGAGTCAAAGTCCTCCTGCCTGTCCTCAAGGACGTCCGTTCCAAGAGCACACTCACCCCCGACGGACGGAGGACAGACAGACTCAGACCCGGCAACAAGACTGGCGGCGTAGTCTAGACGACAGGCAGCAGCAAAGTCGACAAGCTCAGCGACCAGGGCAGACGCAGCAGCAGACTCAAAGGTAGGGTCAGTGACAACAGTGGCGAGAAGACGCGTAACAGTAGGGTGGGCAGCACGAACACTGTCAGACTCAGGGTCGGGAACGTCAGGAAGAGAAGACGCAGGAGGAGACGGTAGGGGGACACGCTGTGGACCAGTGGAAGGACGAAGGGCCATAATATGCGTGCCAGGAACAGGAGGAGGACGCGGACGCGCGACACGACGACCAGTGGGACCAGTGCGCGCAGTGCGAGCAGCGCGAGCAGCGCGAACAGGCGAGGCAGGACGAGACGCAGGCTCACGACGCTCCGTAAGCGAGTCCGGCTGTGCAGTATAAGGCACAGGAGCAGGGAGGGGGGAGCCAGGCTGAAGGGGAAGGCCAGTGGAAGACGGGAGGGAAAGAACCTGGCGAAGAACCGTGTCAGGCGGCGGCAAAGCCGACGGCGACGGAGGAGCGAAGAACAGGCGCGACGGCGGAGCTCCGCCAGCACCTCCAGCACCCGGAGCACCAGAAGCACCTGGACCAGCACCCTCCGCCACAGCACCCCCCGAGTCGGCGACGTCAGCACCAGAGGCCCCAGCAGCGACAGACCTCCCCTCGCCAGCACCTCCAGAACCAGCAGGACCACCGTGTCCAGAACCGTCAGCTCCAGCGTCGTCAGCTCCAGCAGCTCCAGTACCGCCAGGAAGAGCACCCCCAGACGCAGCAACCCCAGGCTCCGTAGGCTCAGTAGCAGCACCCCCAGGCCTAGTACCCTCAGGCGCAGTACCCCCAGGCTCAGCACCCCCAGACTCCGTACACGCAGGCTCAGCACCCCCAGTCGTAGCACCCCCAGGCTCAGCACCCCCAGGCGCCGAACTCCCAGGCACAGTACCCTCAGCTCCAGTACCCGCAGTCCCAGCACTCCCAGGCCCAGCACCCGCAGGCTCAGTACCCCCAGGCTCAGCACTCCCAGCAGCACCACCTGCAGCAGCACCTGAGTCACCTGTGACCTCGACAGGCTCAGCGACGGGAGGAGGATCTACCTGAGAGACACCTGAAGGAGCAGGACCCTGAGGGGGAAGGGGGTCTACCGGAGGGGGACCAGGAGCAAGGAAAAGCGGCGGGGGAGGGAGGGGGGCAGTGCGGTAGGGGAAGAGACGGTAAAAAGGGACCGACTCGTCAAAGGTGACGTCCTGAGAGGCGAAGACCCGGCGCGAGGTGGGGTGGTAAAACTGCCAGCCCGGCGCGTCAGGAACAAAGCCAAGGAAGACACAGGGAAGTGTGCGGGAGGAGAGCTTGTCCGCGGACGTATCGCGGACAAGGGCACGAGCACCCCACACCCGGAAGCGCGACGCATCGCCAACCTCCCCCGTCCAACGCAGTGTGGGCGAGGTCTCCGGCAAGGAGACACGGGGCCAGAGGTTGAGCTGATGCGCGGCGTACCGGACAGCAAACGGCCACAGAAAATGGGGAGCCGCCGCGTGGACCAAGGAGGTACGAGCGACCTCCATGACCAGGCCAATGCGGCGCTCAGCAACCCCATTCTGCTGTGGGGAGTCCGGAAGCGTGAAGGTCTGCTCGATGCCCTCCGCCTGACAGAAGGTCCTCAAGAGGTCGGAGGAAAACTCACCACCTCTATCAGAGTGCAGACGCAGGACAGGAAGATCCGTCCGGAAACGGCGGCGGAGCTGGAGACGAACTGTGCGGATCCAAGGGATCAGAACAGCAGGGACCTCACCCTTGGTGCGCAAGGGGAAGACCGTGGTGTAACGCGAGTAGTCGTCGACAACCAGCAAAAAGTACCGCTCACCGCCCTGGCCACGAACGCGGGCTGGGCCCCACACGTCCAGGTGGAGGGTCTGCAGAGGAGCCTCTGTCGGGGGGAACGAGGAGGAGTGAGGAGCGGCGCGCTGCCGCCCCTCGACGCAAGGAAGGCAAGGCGGCGCAGGCGAGGCAGGGAGGGGAGGGAGGGACCTGGGAAGACCAGACACAAGGCTGCGACGGTGCATGCCACGGAGGCGTGGCAAGGAGGGGTGACCCAGGCGGTGGTGCCAGAGAAGGGTCTGGTGCGACAGGGAACGACACTCACAGGCGTGGGCCACCAGACCTGACGCGGACACCTGACCGACAGCAGCGACCTGAGGAGACGCAGTGGTCAGTGTGTAGAGACTCGACCCCGGCCGACGGGTAAACGTAGCCAGGTGACGGCCGGTCCTGGAGCACGTGCAGATCGCCACACGCTGTCCTCCAGGGGTAAAGGTGTCAACCCACTGATCCTGGATGACAGCGTTGCTCACCAGGTTCGTCGAGAATGAGGGGAGGTGGAAACCCGACAACGAGCCAGATGGAACCGCCGGACAAGGGAGCACAGTGGTGGACTGGGCAAGGACTGGGCCCCCAGAGGGGTCAGCCAAGGAGACTGGGACCGGTGCAGGAAGCGGTGTGAGCTCAGTACTGTCACGAAAGAAACAGCGGGAAGCACCTGAGTCAAGGGTGAAGGTGTGACAGGCCTCAGCCGGTGCGGTACCTGAGAGAGCAGTCTCTGTGGGTGCTGTACCTGAGAGAGCAGACTCGCAAACAGTCGGGACAGCACTGGAGGGAGCAAGTACAGGGGGCACCATACCAGAGAGAGCAGACTCACTAGTACCCAGGACAGCGGGCTCTATACCTGGGTCAGGCGGC